GGATTAAACAGCATTTCATTTCAATTGCAGAAAAAAATCTGGAATTTTTTTTTTTAATCAGAATATTTTGGAATTCTATCAGAGAGAACCAGAATCTGTGGTTATCCGTTGTACTAAAGCAACTTGTATGTATTAGTACAGGGGTGGGCAAAATATGGTTCATGGGCTGGATCTGGCCCATAGAGGGGCCTGTGGTGGGTCTCTTGATCTATGTTATGCCTGGCCCAGGTACTGTCTGGATATGGTGTGTCCTGCTGCCCCTGTGCACACAGCGGAGCTGTAGTGGCTCCACAGAGGGGCTAGCGGCAGCTCCTTCTGGCTGCTGCTGGCCCCAGCCTGCAGTACTGGTGGGGACCCTCTTTCACAGCCCTGACCCAGCGTGCCCTGTGTGATCAGGATTCGCCAATCCCAGGCTGAGCAGCAGCGGCAGGGCCGGGCAGAAGTGGTGGCTTGGTGTGGAGGGTGGGGGGGGAGAAGCGGCCCCTCCCCGTCATTGCTACAGGCACTTCCTGGTCACTGCCGTGTCCATGCTGCCCATTGTGGCAACAGTGACAGTGCAGAGCAGCATCTGGGCAGCCCAGAGGTGGCAGTGAGGCTGCTGGAGACATGGGGCAGCCTGTCGTAGTGTAGGCTCTGCTGGCTGCATCAGGAAGTGCCTGCAGCAGGCAAGGGAGAGGGGCTGCTTTTCGTCTGTGCCAAGCAACCGTTTCTGCCTGGCTGCTGCTGTCACTGCTCAGCCTAGGTGGGCAAGTCCAGAGCAGAAGTGGGGCATGCTGGGTCAGGGCTGAGTGCGCAGGTCCCTGCTAGTACTGTAGATCTGTAGCAATGACCAGTGGCAGCTGAAAAGCTGTCGCCACCTGGGCTGCCTAGGGGTTGGTAAGGCACGCCACAGCTGGGCAGTGTGAAGCAGGCATAGGGCATGCTAGGGCTGTGCACTGTTGGTGGTGGCAGAGAGGTGCCCCAGGGTGCATGGGCTCTAGGCTGTTGCAGGGCAGGAGCCAATGCTGACTGGCTATGGGGGGCGCACGCAGGGGATCCCATGCAAACCCACCATACCCTCAAAGTCTCCCCTACCCACACCTTCTCCCACATAACTGCATGCCTCTGAGGGGAGCCCCACTCACTACTACATGCACCCACACAAATGCCCCCATTCCCCCACCCCCTCCATAAACCCCATAACTCCCACTTCCAATATACAAGAGTAGGACTTCATTTTGAGCTATTATGCAATCAGTTCTATATACATGCTGCAAATACACACAAATCATGGCAATGTTTTCTAAAAATAAAATTAAAATATGTTATTGTGGATGTTTGATTTGTAGTATATAATTTTTTTTTCTGGTCCCAGAATGGATACCCCTCTTCCCATAAAGGCATACTTCTGGGGGCAAAGGGAGGGACTTCTGGTGGTAAAGGTAAGGGGGCGGGACTTTAATCCCCGAGATTGGTGACCAGGGGGCAGAGCACCTGTCAAAGGGCGGGGTTGCTCTTGCAGCCCTTGATAGCTCACCAAAACTCATTAAACCGCTCTGTAGCCCAAATAATTGCCCTCCCCTGTATTGGTACAATTGGTACTAACGATTATGGAGAAATATTCACTTAAGTGTATTCTATATTTGGTTTATTGACATGCAAGTATTAGGTTCTTTTCCATATCTCTCTGGCTAAAGTGTCACAACTGCAATGTTTACACACACTCTTGTTGGTCTTATATTCTAAGTATGCAGCAGTTTGACATCTTATTAAAGTTTTTGTTTTACTGTATTTTTTTCATATGCAAGCTGTAATTGTGATATGATTTAAGTTCTTTTTTAATAATGTATTTGATGTATACTTCTTGCAGGCTTAAAACATGTTTAGAATCTCTTAAGTTTCTTCATGGTACAAGGGAAGAATGTATGAATGCACTGAAAAATGGTGAACTAGTGTGTATTGCACCAGGTAGTGCTCGAGAAGCATTGTTCAGTGATGAAACTTACAAACTTGTATGGTGTAATCGTAAAGGCTTTGCTCACCTGGCTATAGATGCAAAAGTGGTGAGTAACACACCTGTGAGCATCAATCATTTCAATATAATTCAGATTATTGGCAGACAAACTAGTTACCACAAGGTATACCACAATGGGGGCTTGGCTTCACTATGTATCAGCTACTGTGTAATAAATCCTGCTGTGCATACTCTTAACCTGAAGGAATGAGGGCTGAATTGCCATGGTTTACCTCCTTTCTCTGAGATGTTGTCAGCAGCTAACATCGGTGTCTCTGACATAATTTATTGGATGTTGTGTTATTTTATACAGACTGACCAACATAGAGCTCCTTTATCTTTTCTTCTTTTCCCATCTTTCTCCCTGTCCCTGAGGTCTGCAATCCTTGCTGCCTTCTGGATTTTGCACACATCCCAGTTTCCTCTTATTTGCTGTGATTTCATAGGGCGCATGCACAGACCACAGGTTTTAATCCTGATTAAATTAAATAGGTTTATAAAATTTAAACTTGTTTATTTTGGAGCATCGTGTCAGTGTTCGCACGCATTAGGGTTTCAGACAAATTAAGTGCAGTCTCCAGTCGATGCCACAGGAAAGTGGGACGGTCCAGTGCTATCCTCCTCTGCCCATGCCACAGGGAGCTGGCAAATCGCACAAGAAAAAAAAAATGCGGAAGCAATTTGTAGTTCACCCCTTCAAAAAAAAAAAAAGTCTCAGCCATCTAGTAGACAAAGAGGCTCATTACGTCTTTGAGTGCCTTCATGCTTGCACACAATGAATCCATTGATGTGATGCTTTAATTTCTGGCAAATTAAACTAAACTATGTCTGAGACATTTTTACTTTTAATGCACAAGAAAGACTTTTTTTAAAGCGTTCAGAAATTCCGCTCATGCAAACAGACATGCAGTTGCAGCGCATGAAAGGGGTAAGAACAGGGTGTGTACAAAGGCCTATATATATCCAGGCCATGTCCATACTCTGCTGCTGCTTTACTTTCCTTCCATACTCATAGTGAAGTCTCTAATTCAGGTTATCATGTTCATTTTTGCTTTTCTTTAGTGGATACAAAATACAGCAACTAAAGTGATCACTTGCTGTTGTTTGATTCTTTTTGACTTTTTTTGTTGTGCTGTGGTTTTTTTTTTTTTTTTTTTTTTTTTTTTAAATGGTTTTTTCCCCCCCCCCCCCATGGATCTCCATATATACCATCTTCTCACACTACCTTCAAAGCTCTACACTCCTCTGCTTCCCCTTCCTCCATTATTTTCTTTGCATCGGTAGCCTTTTCTATCCTGTTTAAATCTTTACCCAGTTGTCTTTAGGACTTCAATCTTGTAGCCATCTGTGCATGGTAGAAGGGCTCACTTGTAAGGTGCCTATCATTTTCACACTTTAAGTTTCTCTTAAAGACCCACTTGGGTCTTCTCAATATTTTCCACATCCTTGTTGAAGTCCTTCCTGAAGTGTGGTGCCCAGAACTGGATGCAATACTTCAGCTGTGGTCTCACCAATGCTGAGTAAAGCAGAAGAATCACTTCCTTAGTTTTGTTTGAGATGCATTGATCGCATGCTAGTGTATTGTTTGCCCTGCTAGCTACAGCATCGCACTGACAGCTCATGTTCATACTATGGTTTATTATTACCCCTAGATCCTTCTCAGTTGTGGTACTAGTCAGTTTCACGCCACCAAGCCTGTAGGTATGCTGAGGATTGTTTATCCCCAGATGGGGCACTTTACACTTTCTCAGTGTTAAACTTCATCTAGTTCTGATCCTCCCAACTTGCCAGCTTGTCTAGGTCCACCTGAATATGCAGCCTATTTTCAAGTGTGACCACGCTCCCCCGCAACTTGGTGTCATCCGTGAACTTGGCCAGTGAGCTCTTCAACCCCCCCCCCCCCCCCAACTTGGCCAGTGAGCTCTTCACCCCCATATCCAAATCATTGATAAAGATGTTGAAAAGCACTGGACCAAGCACGGACCCCTGTGGGACACCACAGGCCACTTCTTTCCAGGATGACACACATCCATTCATTAAAACTCTCTGGATCTTGTCCTGTAGCCAGCTTCCTACCCACCTAACTGGGGGGCAGTTAAGCCTACAATCCTCCAATTTTCCTGTGAGGATACTCATTGGGATACCGAATCAAAAGCCTTTTGGAAGCCTAGATATACAATGTCGACCTCTCTTTTCCAGGTCGCGAGTTACTTGGTCATAGAAAGAGATGAGATTTGGTAAGACAAGACCTGCCTGCAATGAAGCCATGCTGGCAATTGTTTAGAATCCTACCTTCTGCAAGCATATTGCACATAGACTCCTTGAAGAATTTTTCCAGAATTTTCCCTGGGATAGAAGTTAGGCTAATTGGCCTGTAGTTGCCTGGGTCCTCTCCTCCCCTTCTTGAAGATGGCCACAACATTGGCCTTCTTCCAATCTTCAGGGACCGCCCCTGAGTGCCATGAGTTGTGGAAGGGTTTTGGCAAAGGTCCTGTGATGACTGTAGCCAGGTCGTTAGCACTCTCGGATGAAGTTCCTCTGGTCCTGCTGACCTATAAGTGTCTAACTAATCACGCACCAGCTCAATTTCAACACTAGGAAGGCGATCATTCCTATCATGTCCATTCTGAACTTTATCAAGCGTGACTTTCCCCTTAGCCTGGTGAAATACTGAAGCGAAGTGGTCATTCAGGAGTTCAGTTTTCTCTTGGGTGTTGGTAACCTGCTGTCCCGAGTTGTTAAGCAGTGGCCCTACACTTCCATTTATTTTCCTCCTGTTCCCTACATAAATAAAGAAGGACTTCTTATTGTCCTTAATTTAAACTAGCAACAGAACTCTAGTGTCTGCTTTAGCCTTTCTGATCTGCTCCCTACAAGTGTGGGCTGCTATTATATAGTCCTCTTTGGGGACTGTCCTAGGCTTCCATTGTTAAAGTGTAGATTACTATTGCCTGGCCCATAGTCCCCTGCAGATGTGATCTGAGACTATTGAGCAGAATCATTTGGGATGCAAAGTCCAAGGAACTACTCTGTGTGAATAGGAAAGGACAGTAACTGAGTTCAGTGTTCATGTTGCCTAATTCTGGCCATACTATAAAAAAGATAACTATCTATTTGCACCAATGGCTGCAGTCCATACAAATGTATAAGCCTGATAAAACTAGGGCTGTCTATTAATCACAGTTAATGCATGCAATTAATGCATTAATTTGTTTTTGTGTGATTATTTATTTATTTATTTTTTTAATGTGTCCTGTCACACCAGAGCTTGACTGGTGAATGTCCACATGAGTACCCTGGGTAGGGCCCTTCCCCACCTCTCCTTCTGTGTCTTGATGGTACTTTGAGAGGAAGGGGTTCAGTGTTGTAAGTGATGGTCCCTTATAGGGGTTCTCATAGTACATCCACATCTGACTTGGGGCTCCACCTCCCCTATACCCTGTCCATTCACCAACCATGGATGATAGTGCTTTATAGTCCACAATTGCTGCTTCGGCGCTCTGGCTCTGCTCACCTCACACCAAATGTAGCTCCAACATGTTATCCTCCACTGGGCTGCTTAAGATGGCAGTGTGGGTATGCCCGGCATTGTTTTCAGCTGCCTGTACCCAATCCTTATCCCTGCATCGGAGACTCTGTGTCCTCTCTTGCCGGAGAGTGTCTCTTCTGACTTGACCCAGCGGGTCTCGACCAGAATCGCAAGCAACGAAGAATGGGTGGGGGGGAACCCAACAAGAACTTTCTTGGATCCTCCCCTCCAGGAGAGTGGAAGGCAAGGGCGGGGAAGAGAATAGGAGGAATCCAATAGGAGACTTGATTCCTCCTATCCCTATCTCAGTGGAGACCCAGTTGCTTGGAGTGCCCCACTGCTGTCACACTTCCCAGCACCCCCCAAACTCTGGGCTCTTTCTGCCCGGTGTTGGGTTACTGTCCTTCTGGTCTTTGGCACCATCAGTGCCTTTTAAACTTTCCATGGTGGTGCATGCGGTTGACATCATCAGCTGGGCGCTGCCTAGCTGGATTGACAGAGTGCTCAAAATGTGGCATGGTGATGCCGCACACAGCACCAATCCAGGCCTACTCTCCCTTGCTGTTAAGTCCTGCTGGTCCCATGGTGTTTCCTGCCCCCTCCTCTTGACCTGATGAGGCTCTCGGGGATTTTGGTGCTCGTGTGCAGTCTTCACTGTCGCATGTCTTAATAGTTGTTGGTGCTGGGGGAAAAGTGGCCCCTCCACTTCTCTGCTGTGTGCCTGCCAGTGCTGCTGGCAGAAAGCTGCCCCACTCCCTTTGCTACTATGTATGCCTGCTTTGTGTGCTGGAGAAAAGCAGCAATTTCTCCTTTGCTGCTGCTGGGACATGCATACATTTCCTAGGAGCAGACTCAGCAGCTGGATGCAGGAAAGTGTATAGAGAGGCAGGGGTTGAAGGGCTAGGTCTTGGGGACTGTCTGGGATGTGTGTACATCCAATAATGTGTACAATTGGGATTCTATTATTGTTTTAACTGCAATTAAAATTCTGATTAATCGCAACAATTTTTTTTAAATCTCATGATTAATTGCGATCACTTTTTAAAATTATTCGACAGCCCTTGATTTAAAGCTGAACACAGCTTATGGATAGCTACCAGTAGAGACCCCAAAAACCATACCAATAATGCAATTTGAGGAAATGTCTGACGTTCCACAGATCACCCCAAAATATTGTGGGTTCTCATCACATTTCAAGTTTTTTTCCCCCAGTGAAAAAATATAGGTCTTAATAGTGGTCCATAACTTATTGGTTAGGGCACTCCTTTGGGATAGGAAAGACACCATTTCAAGCCCTCTTCTACTACCCAAATTCAGATAATACTCTTGAAGTTGAACCTCTCACTGTGTGAAGGTGCTTTATACACAAGACTACTAGATGTTCTGGTGTGGTAGCAAAGGACAAATCTTCCTTGACCAGCTCCAAGGTTCTGATGCACAATTCTGAATGAAGTGTGAATAACTCCTTAACTGGAGATGAGCCTTCTAGGCCAGATTGTATCTATCTCTGGAAGTTTCTTACAGTGTGAACATATCTTTCTTCTTTCTTGAAATAATTGGATGCTTGGAAAGATGAGAAATGTGGACTCCTTATTACATGTTTGTTATTTAATTCCTACCTTCTGGTTCTTTTCTCTTCCTTAGCCCATCATTCCAATGTATACTGAAAATGTTCGGGAAGCAAGTAGAATGCTTAAAGAAAGGAGTAAGAGGCATTTTAAATACTATATTCCTTTTGAGCATTTGTCACTCTTCAGTCTCAAAGTGTGTATTCTTCCATTGAATCGTTCTTGGTTTTGGCTTGCTCCTGTTTGTGGGGAAAATGGAAAGTTTCCATAGATTGGCAGACATTAATATGTATGTCTAGGATGAGCCATAGGCTGGTGACAGACATTTATTTTTAAAGGCATGATAGGTTGTGATCCACATTCCCAACAGCCATGCCTCCTGCCATACCAAACATGTTTCACAGGACAGTGGTATTGGGATCAAATCTCAAGCGCGTCCTTCTTGCCATTGTAGGGGCAGGCTGGGATCATGATTCTGGGATTCCCCAGCACTGGCATGTTGAAGGTTGGGTGCCTGACCCTCAGTTGCCTGTTGGCTGGATTGGGACTGCACCAGGGCTTCAGCTAGCCCTGGTGCACTCCCCAGAGTTGGCTGATGATTATTCTACAGCGTGGATTATACTGGGGCTGCTTCAAGCTCTGGTGCGGTCCTAGACCCAGCCAGCCAGGACTCTGCTGATGGTTAGCCTGCAGGGATATACCAGGGCTGGTTTGAGCCTCAGTGCGGACCTGGAGCCTGACAACAATCATCTGATGGTGAACTGGTGGGAACATACTGGAGTGACTGAAGACCTCAGTGCAGTTCTAACCCTGACACATGCCCAAATTGTCTTGATGGGACCGCTTAGCATTTTTCCCTCCATATATTACACATATTCTATGTAATTTGGAGGTGGGGGGGGCTGGTTTCCCTTTTTGGCATTCCTTGAATTGTTTAAATGTGTGGCTGGGTTGCAATTTTAGGCAGGATTAACAGACTAACCATGCCTTTCAGTTTCAAGGTGAGGCTGTCCCCTGAAGGCCTGTAGCATAATGGCAGGCAAGAGAACTATTAAAGCAAATGATTTCTCTTACCTGAGGGGGAGCACAGATGGTTTGCAAGGGAGATTATATCCTTAATAGCTCTGTATGACATGAAGAAAACTCAGGTTTATACGGCCAGACAGTTTTAGGGCAAACCACTACGGCTGTGCGAAGCTTCAGTCGCTGATTCGATTTGGAGGAGATTCGGCCTGATTCAGTGACTGGCTCTCCAAATCTGAATTGAATCAGGAGACCCACTAATCTCTCCTAATTGAATTGGAAGCATCCGATTTCAATTCGGAGAGGTTTGACAATTCAGCCATAGACAGCTTTTTTGCATGTCTCAAGGTACCAGGCATGGCTCGTGAATGCTGAGGTGGTGGGGCAGATGCAGAGTCCCATGGGAACATGGGGGTTGGGTCCCCCGTGCACTCAGCGGTGGACACAGAAGTGGACCAGAAGTACTTCCAGTCCACTTCCAGGTCTGCCGCAGAGCACGTGGCCCTGCCGCGCTCCTGTGGGATGCTCCATCCACCCCACCATCTTGGGATTCACAAGCCGTGCCTCGTACCTCAAGGTATGTAGAAAAAACATATAAAGCTGTGTCTATGGCTGAATTGTCGAATCTGAGTGAGAATCGAATCTTCAGATTCTGCTGAATTGAATTGCTGTCCCCTGAATCGGGTCAAATCTGAATCGAATACTGGCCTTTTTGCACACCCCTACAAACCACGCTGGATTAAATTGAATTGGGAACAACTACGGGAGGTGATCCAGTCTGACTTTGAGTCAAGTGGCTAAAATAGTGATTCTGAGCCATAGTGCTGGGGTACTTTTAGTTACCACGTGAGTCTTTTGAAGGGTACTGCAATGTATAAAGAGGTGAGCCAAGTTTGAGGAAATGAGAATTTCAAATTTGGGCTTGTCAAGGCATTGCTGTTTCCCTACCCCTGCTGTCTGGCCCCTATGCAAGGACTAACATCCTGTAATGAAAAATGCATTCATTTTTTAAATAAGGTGCTGCTCAATTCCCACAAGTTAGGGAGGGGTGTCTTGAGCCTAAATAGTTGAGAGTTGCTGCACTACAGAGAGAGACAGTGCTATTAGATTATGAAGGTGCTGAAATGAAACTCAAGCAGGCTGCACTGCACTGGATGCCAGCAGCCTTCGAGTTAAAATACCCAGACTAGAGAGGGTAAGTGAAATAATAGGATGTAATGAAAAAGGATGTCCCCCTTTTCTGCCTTTTGGTTGTGAGGGAGTCATTTAATTTGGGAAGTTTGGCAGCTCTGTTTTTTCTTAAACTTAATATATGTTCATTTCTCCACAGCTCTGAGACTTTTTTTCCACTTTCTTTTAATTTAACACACAGAATTAATTAGGTGGCTATATGACACTCATCGAGTGCTAATAGTCACACCACATGGAGGACTTCCAGTCAAACTTCGCACGCACATTGGAGAACCCATTCCATATGATCCAAATATAACTGCCGAGGAACTAGCTGAGAAGGTACATTGGTTCCTCTAACGTTATCAAATTGCCTTCTAGATCTTAATTTTCTTTCACCTTCAAATGGCTATTTCAAGCAAACTTGCATCTTCATTTCTCTTTTTAAAATGGGCTTTATCTATGAGCTTGAGTTATGGGATATATCTGGGCTGTTCCACCAGTGACTCATGGCCTGCCTGAGACGGGCTAATTTGTTGCTGTCCATCTGCCCAGGTGTTGTTCCCCTTAGCACAGTGGATGTTGCTGTCACCAGGCTTCTCCTCCCTCTGCCAGCTTTGCTTCCTGCTTCTGCTGCTGGACGGAGGTCAGGGCAGGAAATCATTGCTGTGGAGCTCAGGGAGCTCATATGGCACAGCAAGGGCACACCCATGCAGTGTAGCACTGACATTGCAGCTCAGCAGCTGGTGTGGTGGGAGACCTATGTAACATATGACCCTGAGGGCCCTCAGGCAGTACAGATGCAGCTTGCATGGTGTGTGCAGCCCCCAGTAACTTTGAAGCTGGGCAGCCCTGTATTACGTACTGTACCCAGGGCCACACCTGGAGTAGTAGATTGTAAGCGCTGCAAGTAATATTGCATTGTCAGGGGGTTTTGGTGGTGCACTTTTTTCCCCCTGTACTGCTTGAATTGTGAACGTTTCCTTCACTTCTTGCCTTCCATGTTTTGGATCACTTCTGTCACCATAAGTTTGTGGCTGAAAAGGACAGTGTTAAGCAGCATGGTTATGTCCAAGTTAGCTAGTCAGAGTATCAAGACTGCCTAGCATTGGGTCAGACAAATACTTGAAAGTATTTTAATCTGTTGAAATTGGTGGCAGCTATTTTGCTTAAATATCTGTGAGGATCTGGGATCTAGGCCCATTCACATACTTTAAGACCGGTTTATGGTGCATTTTCAGATGTTTGGCCTAAAAACTGCTATTAGTATGTTACCCAGACCAAAATCTGCCATCATTTGGTTTATGCTGCTTCCAGTTCTCTGGATTCTGAGCTATGTGAATTGTACAAAATGATGGATACTAGCTTCAAGTATAGCTGAGCATATTTGCGTGAAATGTCAGATTGCTGTCCAATGGGATTTTGGGGGCAAAATTTGAGAGAGGTACTTCCTTCTGCAAGCTATGGGCTGGCTAGGTATAGTGTTGGCAACGCAAGTTAGGTTTGTGTTTTGTGGTGGGGAGGGGTTACTGGCAATCTGTGAGCTTTCGACTGACAGCCCAACTTGTTTTGCTGACTCATTTTTTTTTCCTGATGTTTTATATAATGTAAATTCAGCTCCTTTGCCAGGCCCACTAGCAGGACTGGGTTCAGGTTTAGGATTTAAATATCAAGCACACTGAAAAAAGGAAAGATTGATTTTTTTGTTTGTTTGTTTGTTTGTTTGTTTGTTTGTTTTGTTTTTTTTTGGTTCTCAGGAGGAAGTTGGCATTGAAATATTTTCTTAGTTATTGGAACCCTGCTTGACTGCAGGAATGGTTTTACATTGTGCTGCCCCTCTTGTCAGGGCCCCCAGCTCACCACCACCCTCTGATTGCCTGACTGGTCCAGGCATTGTGCTGCTCCACTTGCCCTGTCCCAGCATGGACCCCTAAAGAGGTCTACTGACAACCCAGCAGTATTGGAGCACACGGTTGAGACCATTCTCCCTGCATGGTGCTGTGCTCCCACTCTGACACTAGATGGAGCTTCTGTTCCTGTCTGTCAGCTTCTATCAAGTTGCAGCTGTCTGGTGTATTTCTTGATTACTTCAGCTTTTTTTTTTTGTTTGTTTTAGAACCATACAGTAATGAGGCCAGACCAGAACCCTGTACACAGTCAGATGAGGGCAAGTCGTCCACTGAGTAGGCAGCACCTGATGCAACCCCAGAGCCATGTTTTGGTCTCAGCTGGGTTGCATGAAGCAATCTGGGCAGCCAGTCACCTGAAGCCACAGGCAGCAAGCCCATCCACTCTAGCCCCTAAAAACTAGACCTAATCCCAGGTACCCTTGTTGAGAGAAGGTGACAGTTCTTCTCCTGACTTTGCATGTGCTTTCTTGCTGGTATTCAGGTAAAATCCTTGTCATGCCTTGATTCCAGTTCTATGGGCTTGATTCTGGTTTGACCTTCAGCACTCACTTTTGGCTTGTGAGCCTGATTTTATTTTATTTTTTTAACTCTTGGCTTACCCTGTCTCCAGCTATGGCTTCTGACCTTTGCCTGCTTTAACTTTTGGCTATGGCTCCCAACTCTGATTTTTTTTGATGTCAGGCGCCTTTGTACCCCCAACTCCCTGGACTGGACCTGTGCTTCAGGTGTCTAACCACTAGACAAGCAAGGCAATTAAAACTGTACCATACCATGTTACAACTCCTAGTTCATGTTCCATTAGAAGTTTATTTTCTATACTCAGTTCTACAAAACTAGAAATGAAATTTTTTTTATCCTAGACGCCCACTCTTTCTCAGCCTGCTGTGACTGCAAGAACTGTTTCTGGGGAAAATGTAGACCCTTTTGGGAAGTATGGCTGTAGAGCCAGTCAGGCCCATTCTCTGTAATCAGGGGGGCTGTTCCAGCAGGCCTTGAACTCTGTATGTAGTTTCAATTACAAAGGATTTTCCTTGTACAACTCTCCAAAGCTGAGACCCGTTTACCTGACTTGCCTACCTCTGACTTCCAGAAGATTTAGGTACTAACTTAACAAACCCTATTTCCAGATGCTTTCATTCCCATTGAAACAATGAACCCAAAGCATAAATTAAGTGAAGAGAGGGTACATTAGAATCCTGTTTGTAATTATGCAGGACAAGTTATGCAATGCTCATTGCAATGTTATACCAGTCTTGCTCCCATTTACTTGGTAGGTAATTTTGCTATCCATTTCAATTGGAGCACAAATTTAGTCCTTCTGTTCTTAAGGAAAATGTTGTAGAGACAATTGGCACATGCATGTTTTCCCAATAACTTCTACCCTTCCCTAATTCCTCATTTCCAGGTGGCAAAAGGTAATTGGGGCTCTACGATGTATATGCTTGCATAGTGTCAATACTTGTCAAAGTTTAACTGTCTTCTCTTTTCCTTACCAGACAAAGACTGCACTCCAGAATTTGATACAAAGACACCAACAAATACCAGGAAGCATGTGGAAGGCTTTATTGGCATGTTTCGATAAACCACAAAAAGATGATTAGAAAATATCATCTCTTTATGGACTCATTAAGTATAAAATACAACATTACATGTACTTCAATAAGCAATCCTCTGAAAATGCATGGTAAATTCTATAGAAATGGTTGCTAGTAGATTATCATTGATATTGCATATATAATTTACTGGTTTCTGTATAACTGGAAATGGTTTGATGTTGTAAAGGCTCCATTCTGCAGTGTTTACCCAAGCAAGATTCCTGATGATTTCAGTGGATGGGGAGATAATGCAAAAAGATGCATTTTTGCCAAGGTAGTGAACCAAAAGCAAAGAGGGTTTGGTTCTTAGTGGTTACTTTTATAACCCAACCTTGATTTTTTTTTTTTTTTTTTTTTTTTTTTTTTTTTTCTTAGATAGATATAGAAAGGCATTCCCTTCCATTTCCCAACTATTTCTGACTTTTTCTCTCCCTCTCTATTCCCTATAATTATGAGTAAGCTAAGACATAGGTTAAGCTTTAGCATTTTATGTTGGTAGAAAGTATGTTGTTTTTTTTTTTTCTTCTTCTTCTCTCTCTCCTTCTTTGCAAATAAGTGCCCTGTTGTTTTGATATGGATATCCACTGTTTTATATTTTATTATGATTTTTACTGTCTTATATTGTGTGATTACTGTTTCACTGAGTTTTTTTACTGATACTATATGATTTAGGCCTACATGTGTAAGTTGGCATAAGTCATGTCAAATTTCCATTTTGTATGTCAATCCTCCATCTTGTGTCCTTGTGTAACTTACGTTGTAACTGTGACTCATGTCTAACCAGTCTCATGTAAATTGGTTCCTGAATGAATGAGGGTGCTTGAGGTACAATGGTGGCAGGCCTCTACTGAATGACCAACTCAACAACTGGACCATCAATTCAAAGACTAGACTATTGCCTTATATTAACTCACCCAGGAACCATGGACCTCACCCAGGAACAGAACAGAAACCCAGCATTTGAAAGACAGACTGCTGCAGAAATCAGCCAACCCACCATTGCACCTGAAACTGCATGCTTTCACCTGTAGTGCACATGCTCAGTACACTAGGGCTGACCCTTGCCTGAGCATGCCCCTGCTACTAGGGTCGTAGAAAGTCTGCCCCTATAAGAGGGGTAGGGAAGACAGACCCAGAGGGAATACCATTTCCATCCAGATCAGACCAGCTCCACATCACACCTCCTATCCACCCCAGAGGCCCTGCTGGCAACCCTCTCTGGACAACACCTTGCTGAAGGAAACCTCCTGGACTTCAGTCCCTCTACTAAGCCTTTTTCTCTTCTGCTACCATCGTGTGTGTGTGGGGGGGAATCAATTTTGTGCTCTGTGTAGTGCATTGCCTGTTTAATAAAACTGTTAATTTAGAACCCTGAGCTGAGGTTTGTTTGTTGTTTTTTTTTTTTTTTTTTTTCCCTCTTACTGACCTCCTGACCCTGCTCCAATCTCTCTTCGCAGCCTTTCCCAGTGACCAGAGCCCCGATCTGGGTCCCGGCACTCCTGTAGCCTTCCCTGGCTACCTGATTTTTTTCCCCCCCCCCCCCAATTAGCTCCTAATGACAGCCCCTACCAGTTTCCTGGACCCGCAGCATGTCCCCCACAGCTGCTCCCAGCACCTCTCTGGCACCCGTGGCTCCCCTCCGGTTCCTCCCAGTTTCCCTCTTCCCACATACCTCTTGGCTCCTCCATAGTCTCTTTGCTCCGGCTCCAGCCCCTGTCTCTGTGCCGGTTTCTCCACGATATCACTCCTTTGTTCTGCCAGCTTTCCACATTTTTCTTTGATCAATCAACTCTAATTAACCTTAAGTTACCCCCAGTCCCCCTCCAGTCTGCCAGTTCTAATCCCAGCCCTGGCAACTTTCACTCACTTCCACTCTCTTATTTTTCCCTTTTTCATCTTAACCCCCATCCATCTTCCTCCTTTCCCTCCTTCTAGAAATCTTTGACCCTTGACTACCCATCCCATAGTTGCCAAGCACCCTAGGTATCCCAAGCACACATGTTCCAAGTTAGGAACTCACCTGTGTTTGTGTAGGTGGGTGGTATGTACGTGAACTAGGAAGTACATATATATCACTGTGTGCGTGATATATGAATTAGTGATCTGTGTATGGGTATTGACAACTGATTTTTGGCTAATTTTTGGTGTGTATAGTGTGTATCTGCTTGAATTGGTGATCTTGGATGTGTATGTGCCTGAGTTGGGGGGGGGGGGGGTGTGTACTTGTGCAATTGTTGTTCCTCCCACGACAACAACTTTAGGTAACTAACTCCTGTGTTCAGATTTTCAAGAAACTCTTCTTAGCTACTACCTAGTCATGCAAGTGCCTATATTTCTATCAATGGGTATGTGCAAATCCTGTCTAAGCCCCAATGCTGCTATGCTGCTCGGAGGCCAAACCCAGGAAGAGTCTCAAAGTAAGTGCTGCCAGCTTACCTCACCTGTAGGTCCATCTAGCACTCTTTTCAGCATGCCTATTTGAGTAAGTATCCCCTATGATAGTAGGGAATGAGAAACTGCCATGCTCATTACATGAGGGGCTGACTGTGATCCTTCAAACCTGGTGCTGCCTGCTCCAGCTGCTGCAACACCTCCTCGGGCTGAGTCTGCTTTGTGCTTGGTCCCGCTTCAGGACTGAGCCTGGTCCTATGCAGCCACTGTGTCACGGGCAGGAGGGAGATGGATGTAGCGCACCTGGCAGAAACCATGCCACTTGGACTGGATCTGCCCTTCCCTCGGTGAGCTGGGGAGGGCTCCTCCTGGCAGCACAGAGAAACCTTCCAGGTCCAGGCTGCAGCAGCCCAGGTGTGGCAGGAGGCCCAGGGAGACTGCTTAGGCAAACCCATCATGGGGCTGGGAGTCTCACTGCTGTGGCAGAAAGAGAACCCCTGTGGGGGGCCTGGTATCTCCCTCCCTCTCTCCCTCCAGCGGTGGGATCTGGGCACAGGAGACGTCCGCAGCCCGAGCCCCTGCCCATGGGGTGAAGGGAAGTGGCTCTGCAGCCGGGCAGTGCCCCCTAGTGGCTCAGCTGTGTCTGCTGCCTTCTGTCCATGGTTCCCTGCCACTGGTGTGGGGACTGTACTATGCCAGTTGCATGGTGAAGACACAAGGGTCTGGGATTGGGGTCAGGGCTATTCGTGCTGGAGGTCATTAAATGGTAAGCAGTAAAATGGCATAAATGTAATCGTTGGTTAACCGTTTACATCCCTAGTCCAGACCAATAAATTACATAACAAATCATGAGGTGTTGGGCTAATCTTATGCATAGTTTGTAGTATGCATAAGTATATACAAAAGTGCTGCTCAAAAGTGTGTTTATGGAGTACCTGCACCGAAACTTGCAACAGTTTATGAAAGAGGTAGAATACCTCAGGTCTGGATGAGCTAAGTCAGTAGCTACCTAATAGTAATTTATATATACAGGCAAACCCTGCTTAATGCTGTTTCACTTAGTGCTATTTCACTATAATGCTCATTTTTAAATTGATACCTGATTCCACTTAGTGCTCAGCGAGTTTCGTTATAATGTTCACGGTTGCCATCTTAGGTAATCAAAAACTTTTGGTTTTGCTTAAAGCTCATTAAATTGTGCTGTATTTTTCAGATGTTTGGAAGTAGTAAGTGAATGCTATTTAAAAAATTTAATCCTTGCTTAAGTTTTGCCAACTTTCATGATGAAATTACTAGCCTGTCCTGATTTAAGTGTTTTAATTTAAAACCCCAAGACTTCCTAGAGACAAATGATTAAGTGAAATTCTCAGCTGTCACTTTTACAAGTGTCTAACAGTCCTGTCTTTAAAAAAAGAAAAGCTTAACCTGTTATCTGAATGTACCATGATGAATAACTACATGGCAAGTATACAACCTAAATTGTATTTGGGCAAATATAAATCAAATCAAAATGTATCTTGATTATATCAAGATAATATCATGATTCCTTTGATGGGTCTGACTCATTCTCAAGTGTGTTTGGGGGTTGTCAGTTCTTTCAAAACTGCAGTATGTATCTTAAACTCATTTTGATTTATCAGTTATGTAAAATATTTATTAAATAGAACTTGAATTGGAGCAAAATCTAACATGAATTTAATGAGCTTTAAGCAAAACTGAATTAGTAAATGTTTCTTAGCTTTTTTTTTTTTAACTGAAAAGTATAATGCACTTGATTTTCATGAGCTCATTCTAAATTCATCATGGACTTGTGTTTGTTGGCTACAAATGTCCAACTCGGGATCCTTAAAATTCTAGTTTATTAGGCGGATTGAAACACTGTAATCATAAACCTTGGGGCTGGTCCCCACACACACACAGGAGCAGGCTACAGAGTCAGGTATACCTATCCTACAAGCGCTGGAGTCTGTCATTAAGGCTTCTTTCAGCGTGGTGTTATCTTCCAGAAGGGGGTCTCCGGCTGGTCCTTCTGGCTGGACAGGTCTGGTCGAGTTGGAGATCAAAAGGGCGCCCCTGAGGGTCACTTTTTCACTGCCTTTTATCTATCCTTGGCAGACTTTGGTGACTCACCAGTTTTTTCAGGTTTGCCCAATCCAGGGGTCATTGACCCTCGTGGGACTTCCCCCCCCGGTGGCTACTGGATGGCATCCGTCAGCCCCAGGGGTCATCCGCATGTATGTGCAGGTTTGGGAGTCCGTTGATGAATTTAAAATAGGGCTCTGGGAGTGGTCAAACTGGAGATATTCAGCCCAAAAGTTGGTCCCTGGCGTTGATTAACTCAGGCCAGGGCTTCTAGAGATTTCCCAGTTGTTACATTGTCTTCTATTGAGTTCTTCCCTTGGTTGATCTGCAGCTTCCAGGTGATAATTGCTGTCTGCTTCCATGTTACACATTCAATCACGTTACACATTCAATCACTGATTCACTCGCTCTTTCAGGGGCCAGCCTGATACGGGGAAGGGCAGTTTGATTCCTGCCCTTGTTAACATTGTTACAATGTATAATTTACTTATGAAACTAAACACATTCAGTTGGAAGGTGAGGAGTATAAAATATAAGCTAAAAGTGCCATGGCACACAAATAAATAAAAATACCAAAATACAAGGGGAGATGCAAAATGCACACATACAAATTTTAAAACACAATTCCTTATCTTAAAGTGAAAGAGAGAGGAAGGAAGAAAAGGTAGAAAAAGAGAAACATATCCAAAGAGGGGAGAGCAAATGCAGGCAAGAGGAAAAGGGGGCTTTCTGCTACATGTTTAATAATGTTCTCTAAACAACAACTTAGGAAAACCTAACTTTAAAGCTCAGTTGACCAGCCTCCACTGGGGTACGGTTGTGGCTAATGGGTTCGCACCGTGAGCTGAGTTCCAGGGCTCTTCAGCATCTTGCTGTGCCCCTCAATCCCAATAGGTTCCTCTCTGGGTCCCCATCCAGATGAGGAGAAGCAATGCACCTATCCTGCCAGACGGGCAGCAAGAACACTCCAAGGTTAAAATAAGCTTAA